AAAAAGACAAAGAGCAAAGGATGAGAAGGAATAGAGATTATTAACTATTTTTCTTTTTTTACCAGGACGTCTGTCGTTCCACGCTGCTCTGGCCGTGCCTGTCCCAGGACTTCTTTGCTTTTCTGGGTTAACCAAACGGAGCCAGGTTACACATTAACTCGCCTCCTCGGTGGAGATAAGTGAGCGCTCCTGGGTGAGCCCCCAGCCCCTCACCTGCAGCCTGCTGCGCCGGAGCGAGAGAAATTCATCCTGCACCCATACAAGGCAGCTTTTCCTTACGCTCCGGGCTGCAGCATGGCTGAGTCCCTAAAACCCCTGCGTGTCGTGACCCAAAGCAGACAGGTCTTTGCGTGCCGCGTTCTCGGCAGCCCTGGCAGAGCAGCTTTGCTGCGAGCCAGCCCGGTGCAGGCAGAGGCGGGCGGCAGCCCGTGCCCGGGAGGCTGCGGGCAGCTCTGCTCGGTACCACCCAGCTCACTCACTTCCCGGCGTGGTTGGTGTCCTGTGGTGTCCTCAGCGCGGGTTTCGCCGGAGACTCCTTAATCCGACATCCTGTTCTGCCGCATAGCTGCTCGCTGACACTCGGAGGAGCCGAGCGCATGGCCCTGACCGAAACGCCTCTGTACACAGTAATTAAGTCCTTTGCCGCATGTTTGCGCCGGGTGCTGCTGAACACATTGCCCCACAACAGGTTTTACTCTCCGAGGTGGGTTTGTGCGCAAGGTCCCTCAGCTCAGGGTAGGACTCGGTTCTTTCTGGGCTCTGAAAACACACGTTGGTGCTAGAACAGGTACGTACCTGCAAATCACCAAAGCCTTCCCAGAGAGCACAAGTTTGCCGCCTGCTGCTGTATGCTGTAAGGAGAAATTTGTGTGTGTTTTTTTTTTAAAAAAAAAAACACAACCCACCCCCAAACAGCCATTTTATTAGGGAAGCTTTACCACATCACCCTGTGCAGCACTGGGCGATGCTGACCCGCAGCACCCGATCTGCCCAGGGGGTGCTGTGGAAGCTGCTGAAGGAATTGCAGTTACTCCTTTTTACCCCAACTTTGGGCTCTCCTTTTAAAATTACAGCTTTTTTCTCTTACTAACGATGCTTAGGCCATTTCTCCCCCCACCCCTGCTTAGACTTGTGTCTGCTCTATAAGATGCTCCTAAATATCCAAGCAGAAACCCTGCAGCAAACTTCCAGAACTGATCTAGCCACCAGATTTGAGTTTTCATGCTTCGATGATTTTTAAAATTTTTTAAAATGTTTTTCAGAAAAAGGTTGTGTTGCAACATGTGCTCCTTGCTACGCAGAACAGGGAAGTGGAAACATTGGTTATTTAAAGCTATGACAGGATGGAGAGAAAGCAGATGAGCCAGGAAGCCCAGAAGTTCCCACCAGCGTTGCTGAGCCCCAGCTGCGCGCTGTTGCGAAAGGGAACGCGTGCCTCGAAGAGCAAATCTCCCGAGCAGAGGTTCCTGACAGCCCTGCACCACAGGTCAGAGGCGCGGCTGCGGCACGATGGGAGCGTCAGGACAGCCCCAGCTGCTGCCTGAGCGTGGTGACAGCGGGCGATGGCAGAGCTGAGCGCGGGGCTCGGTGGAAGCGCGTTAGCTGGTGTCCTGCCGGATGGTGTGGGAGGTTAAACGGGGTCACATTCACACTGGTTTTGTCGAGGTGTGCTTGGAGCTGAGCGAGTCAACCTCAGAGATATTTTCTTATTTGTCTCTGCAAACCCAGTAAGTGCTCCCAGATGGGGTAAGTGTGTCCTGAGAGCACAAGGACTCAAATCTGTGCAGTGAGAGGCAGAGCGTTGTGTAGGTCAGGAAAATGTCGTGATCCATTGAGAGAAGTCTTGAGCTTCTCTGAATTAGACGCCCAGGAAGAACCTGTGGGTTTTTTTTTTTCCAGGTTCCTCTTCCTCCGACAAATATAAATAGCTACAACCCAAAATAAAAGCATGATTTCACGTGGACGGCATGAAGTATATGCAAGTAGTCAAACGATGCAGAGAAAACTCCACAAAGCCCTGAGAGGACTTTGGCATGTTAACAGACCCGTCGTGCCTCGCCCTGTTCATAAACAAAAGGACACGATGATTCAGTCCTGGCCCCGAAGGAAACGCATCCCTACGGCGTCACCGATAAGATACCTGTGAACTAATGACATCACACTCCGTGCGACACTTTCTTCAGAGCACATTGTGTGTACGGGCTGTATGCTGACAAATCAGTCGTGAGCAATACGATGGAGTTAACGCCTGGTATTACACAGCAGTTTAGAGAAATAACGAAATCCTAATATGGCTGCAAACTGAGCAAGGAGCCCTATTTATTATCCCTATTTTACGGAACAGAGGTAGGGAGCCGAGGTGATTTGTTTCCATGGCTTGGTTAGCATTAACTCTGCATCGGAAACGAGGAGTCTGCTCTCAAGGTATGATACAGTTCCCCAATGTTTCCCCCCAGGCTTTAATTAAAAATAGTAGACAAGAACATTGCCATCTTGGACAGTCTAATTTTGTTAACTCCCCTGTTATGTTCACTTGTCGTGGAAAGCGTTTTGGTGCTCAGACTCAGAAGAGTGGAAAAAAAAATTATACTGATTTCAGCTAATTCAAAGTAATTTATTCTGCCCGTTCCAGAGCAGAGCAAAACCTGATGGCAGTTGTACCTCTGGATGCATAGCTTGCTTTAAAATGTAGGCAGTTTTTAATTTGTACAACAAAGAGCCGTAATTTTCAAAATAGCAAACTGGAAATGTTTTGCTCCTTATTGAAGTTTCCCTGGCAGGGAGAGGTTTGCAGGACTTGCCCAGGGGTGGGTTCATCCCGGGCAGGAGCCGATCTGCCCAGATCACAGATGCTTCAGCGGTTCTGTGTCAGTCTGATTTCCCCAAAGCTCTGATTTCTGTGTTTAAGGTAGGCAGCAGAGAATTTCTGCATTTTTGTCATTTGTGCCTGTCCCCTCCTCCTGCGTCCTCAAAAGTCGAGAAGGGCAAACAGAGAAGGGTGCTTAGGTCCGAAGTGTTTGCAAAGCGGAATGCTGTGTTCCAGCCGGGGTTTGGCTGCCCGGGGTCAGCTGATGACACTGTTACGTTCTGCAACAGGTTGGGGACAGGAGACACCCTCCGCTGTGCCTGTGCACACCAAAAGGTGCAGCTTTCAGACACTGATTCTGCACCGCATTACAAGATGTTCTTTCTCTCCGTTCTAAGAATTGCTCTTTTTACAGAAACGTATCCAGAACTAAGGAAGTGTTTGTCCGTGAGAAAATCACTGATTCCTGAGACTGGGCTTTCAGGCAGCTGCATCCATGAAGCAGATCTTTATGCTCAAACCAAAACCTTCCTAAAGTCTGTCTACTTAATGATCTATATATTTAAATGCATGAAAGATCCTGGAGGTATGTAAAACCGTCTTTACAGCTGTTCCCTTTGATATCTAATTACACAGAGGAAATACTTTACTGTTAAAAAAAAAATAAATTATTTGAAGAAATGAAAAGTGAAGAAGGTTCAGCTATTATTTTAAGACTTTGTCAGTGTGTAACAGTATCAGCTTTTCCAAAGATGAATTACAGCAGTTCAGTTGACTTTTTTTTTAACCAAAGAGTTTTTATTTTCTAGGCAACAAAAGAAAACATCCAAGCAGTGATACTGACACATCTTCCTCCAATGGAACTGATTCTCTGTTAGCAGATTTCCAATGCAAACAGGATACAGCAAATCTAAACACTCTGGATTAAATAAAACTGATCTTAAAAATACTGCAACTGAGAAATATCCTGCCCAAAAAAATCATTTTGACAACGCTCTCAGAAATCCATCCAGGATACAAAGCTAAAAATCGAAGTGTTGCTCCCCAAAGTCAATGCATTTGCAAACATGGCAGACAATAAATACGTATCTTCCGCTTCCGAGACACCCGAAGACGGTCGCCTCGCACACCTCTCTGAGGTAGGTTTTATGTCCTTTTCACAGGTGGGGAGGGGTCAGCTCCTCGTCCGAGGCGTCTCCCCGCTTCCGTGCGAAAGCTGAGAGTTCAGCTCAGGACGGACAGTCTCGTGGTCTCGTTCCTAGACAGTATTTCATCTCAAGTAGTTTTAACACAGTGTAATCTTCAAGTTCCTTGAACTGTCAGGTTTATAAGCATCAGCTTCCAGAGGACTGGTTTTAATGTTGGGCTTTGGGGGTCTGTGTTTTGTTTGTTGGATTTTGGTTTTTTTTTCTTTTCCCCCATGACAGGCTAAAAGCAAAGTGGGGTTGAACACTGGAAGTTATGTAGCTTTGTCAGCAACTCCCAACAGTGCTAAAGTGTATTTTAATACTGAACTTAAAAGAAACCTGGTCTGTAGTGCTCTTGGTGATTCTATTCTTTATACTTAATTATTTGTGCCTCAATTCAGCACAGCACTTATGTAATTATGTTCCTTCCTTGATGAGACCCTCCCGTATTTCATGGCCCAACTGGGAGGCTCGAGAGCTTCAGTGGAACATGGGTTTTATAGAAGAGACATTTTTGCTGCACCAGGAGTCTAGCCAGATGCCTTAACGAATAGAGGCTTTTAAAACTAGATCTTAGATCCCACTTGGAAAGTGGGTGTGTTTCTGCCTCCATCCAAAGATGCGTGTTCTTGCTCCCCATTCATAAAAGTGCAAGGAAGGTAACGCACAACAGTGAAACATGAATAGCAGGCTAAAACGATTTTAAAATTCAGTAAGACGAGTATGTGTTGCAGGCATTTCAAAGGAAAAAAAAAATCCCTTTCAGTAATATGCACCTTTACAGCACCTTTTAAAAGACCTCAAAAGCACTTACTGTTAAGCCTCACAACCCCGCTGTGAGGTAAGATATATTAAACCAACTTCAGCTTCCCTGATTCACAACAGTACGAGAAGTAGGGCAGTTTACGCAGCTTATTTTGCTCTGAAAACTGAACTGCACCCTTCATTCTCAGAATTAAAGTCTTGCTACTGAACAGTCACCGGTGACAAATCAAAACACCTTAAGGCAGAATGCAGATGAAGAAACTTCAAGCCTCCCTCCTAGGTTAGCACTCTGTCCTCCTTAAGAAGGGCAAAATCTTTTATGGGCAAAGAGTGAGAACTAGACCTTAAAGTGCTAATTTACAGTATTTGGAATCTGGAACAGCTTAGTAACACTGTGGCTGTGAGATCTGCTATACCCAAGTCAAGTCTGTTTAAATATATTTAACAGATGCAAATTAAGTCACTTCCCTAACTACTGTATTTTCCCTCTTGCCAGAATTTCAGATGCTATTACGAAGAAGAATCCAAAGTATTTCAAGAAACATGCCTATGTCCTGACGCAGTGTAAACACCGGGAGCTTGGTAATTATTTGTCAAGCGACTAAAATCTACCTATGGAGGATTAATAAGTTTATTCAACACTTAACCATCTACTTGTTAATTTAAAGAAGGCTATCTTAAAGCTTAGAGGCCATTTCTTTCTCTAAAGCCATGACTTCACACAAACAATAGTCTACTTCTGATGGTAACACAGTATAGGGCAGCTTTGGAGATATTCTTTCCGTTAAAAACTGGGCACCAGATAAGCAGTTTTCTCTGCAAGAACTGCTTCCGTGTGCACAGTCTAATTCTTTGTAAAAGTAATGCTGATAACGTGTGTTTCCTAAAACCTTAATTACCCTGAAAACATAATGCGGAGAGTTTAATTTGGTAACAGTTTTAACGCTAGTGTCGAACAAGCCTGGTTGTGTACGTCCACTTGAATCACACGGAGAAAGAGAAGAGAATTTCAGAAATGAAGTGTTAGCTGCCAGCGTATACCACCTGCCAACGTACTATAATCAGCATGCGAGAAGATACCTATTTCAAATCCCTTGGAAAAGTCACCAGAACAAACCTGCGCACCGCGGCCATCGTCAAGTTAAAAAGCTTTTCAAGCTTTGTGAACGGAATCTTATGATTACATACAGCTTATCTGGCAATCCAGAATTTCATTCTGGATCGGTGAGGTAGTCGATGTAACCATCCTCATGCAGGCGTCACACTTCCCCGAAGTTGGTGTGTCCGGTCTCCTTGGCGTGTTCCCTGGCTTCCACTTGTCCAGTGAGTCCCTTCTGGCACACCATGCACCTCAGCGTGAAGTGATTCACATCAGTAAACTGCCTCTTCCTCCTGGCTTCGTCGGCCAACTCCAACGCTTGTGCAAGAACAATATCATCCGTCGTGGAGAAAATGGTCTGGGGAGGAACGTCCGAGTCGGGGATTTTGCGTTCCAGCGGATCGTAATGAATCCCATCGTAGATCAAAAGGACCCGCTTGGTGTAACCGGCGTCCTCCCCAAAACGGTCGATTCTGACTGTCTGCGTGTCCACCACACAGATTTCGCACTGGTAAAACTTGGATAAAATGGACACTTCGATGGCTCCTCCCCAAGTCTCCTCTTTTCTGATCCAGTCACAATACTCCCTGTTTGTTTTCCCTAGAACTGCCTCACAGTACGACTCGGGATCACTCGCTACTATCTGGGCGATAAGGCTGCGCATCTCTGGAGCACAACCCGGGTCGTAAACGCCCCCCTCCACCACGTAGTACACGCTGGTGAAGAGACAGGAGTTATCTGCAGGAACAACCCTCCTCGCCAGCACGGGCGCGACCTCCCTAACTGAGCTGGACATTGTTCTTTTGGCAACTACCGGCGAGTCAGTCTTGGGCTTGGACGTGTCCTCTTCAACGATCAGGGTATCACCTGTCAGACACAGAGGGAGGAAGAACTGAGAGAAACACGCAGATGGGAGTTAAACACGCTGCTGCTCCTAAAACAGAACGAATTCTGTTATCCCGACGGAAAGCAACCTCGGAACAGCTCTGGCGTACTCACCCGGTGTGTC